AGAATTTGATGAGTTTTAAACGAACTAAAAAAAATAAAATTTAGGATAGAAATTTAAAAAAAATTGTACTCTCAAAACTCAACTTCTATAATTCAAATTTTTTATTATAATGAAATACTACAAATAAGCAACATTTTTATACTACATTTGGTACATAAAAATTAATTGCTAACACGTGAATTTAAATAAACATTAAATATCCTGGATACATGAATAAAAATAAATTCATCTATAATAACTCTAGGTTCATGTATATCAAGATTCATCAAATTAAGATTCATTGGGTCTAGATTAATGTGAATGTTAATAAACTGAAAATTAATAACACAAAATTGAAAAACGAAATGTAAGGTATTATTGAAATAATTAAATTATTGTAGGGTTAAAATTGTCCAAAAAATGATTCTCACTTAATGTGATATTTAATATATTATAGATGTGGCAGTATGATCATATCTCTTTGCTTTTGAATAATCTGCAAATGAAATTTTAAGTTTCAACCTCAATATTAGTTTAGTTACACATGGGAGAAGAAAACAGAAAAAAGATTTGGGGGACACACCAAATTTTAAAGTAATACGAGAAAATATGAAGATCTTGCATTAATAATGTGTCTCCTTGCACAACCTTGAAATCGTAACTTTTCTTCCTTCTCTCTTTTATATGTTCTAATTCTTTATTCATCCCATGTTTTGACCTAGAATATGTTCTTGTATAGTGCTCGTCTTGTCTCGAAAGTCATGCCTTGGAAAGTGAAAAATCCCTAATAAAATGTAAAAACCCAAAAAAAAAAAAAAATCCTTGATTCACGGCCTGAATCGGCCAAAAATCAGCACAAGCTAGGACCGCATTAGAGGTGTCAATCCGGGTGGTCGGGCTGGGTCGGCCCACCAACATATGAGCCCGTTAACGGCCTGTGTGAAAAAAAGCCTGCCCGCTACGGGTTCCGAGTCAATTCCGGGTCGGCCCACAAATTTTGGACTACAACCCAGGTCCACCCGCTAACTCATTCGGGTCGACCCCATGCGGGTACGAGTCGCGGTTTGTTCCGATTTGGCCTGTATGATTATGTAAATAAAATTATAAAAATATAGAATTTTTCATATTTATAGCAAAAAATATATTTTTTTTTGTTAAATGTAAACTAAAAATTGAACAAAATGATAAATTCATAATTATATCAAGAAATTTTTACATAGAATTGAAATTTAATGTTACATGAATTATTTAGAACTTTNAACAAATAACAACTAAATGCAATTCTAATTACTATTATCAAATATTTATAGTATAAGTATATCCCAACTAGGTTGGCACCTACGTTTTTTCAAAATTAAAAAAAAAAAATTTCACGGCCCAGTGGGTTAACCGCGGCCCGTGAAGGTGCAACCCGCGAATCCCGCGGGTCACATTTCCTTGACCCATGAACCGCCCGCTGGGGTCACGGGTCGGCCCGCGGTCCCGGGTCGATCCGAGCCGATTTTCACGAGTCTAACCGGCCCATCCGTCTTGACACCTCTAGACAGCATTAGACCGTCGCAAACATCAATGTTTGTCTAGACCGCGGCCCCCCTGCTACTTTTAAAAGTCTCCAATTCGGTCTCCACTTCAAGTTTTTCATCCATTTTTAGTCCTCTTTATCTGACTCTACGAAATTAATCTTGTAACTTCCAAAAGCTTCACATTGGTCCAAGAACCTTAATAATCGAAAATTGGTCTTCCGCAAGTTTTGAAAGTGTGCAAATCAGTTCCCAAACTTACAATTAATTTCACTTATGAAACTTGTGTCTTCTCTCTGGTTGCTCTCTTAATGCTTCATATTAATATAATTAGTTTTTAATTGCTCCGAATCAACTCCAATTAAGCTTAAAATTGTCATTTTTGCTCCAAGTCTTACTCGAAAGAGATTATTAAACAAGATAGAAATATTGATTTTCAAGTTCAAATAATTTTTGTCGATTTATGAAATAATCATTAAGATGGAACGATGCGTGGAGGGAGGGGTGGGCCTTGGAAGTCACACGACCTCAAAGAATTCTAGGATTTCTTCTATAATATTTTTAAAAAATTTAGTAGTATAAAAAAAGAACTTCAATATATGAGAATGGTCAATTCTGTGCCAAAAGAAAGGGATTTCCAATTTTTGATTTTTGAAAACAATTTTTCAGAATGCCAAAAGAACACATTTTAAAAAAATTTCAAAATGGACACTCAAAACACAAATCTCAAAATGAATTCAAAATTCAAAATTGAAATACAAAGAGAACAGCCCCTAAACAAATAACTTCGCACCCTCGCCTAGAAAAGGGGAAGGAATATAATTAACCCCCCTCCCCCCTATAGAATAATACTATTTATTGTCGCTAATGTTAAACATCAGTCTAGGCGGTTACATTTTATTGATTTAATTAAATAAGTCATATAACTTTGAGTAATGCTATGTAACCCCACTGGGGTTGTAACTCTAGTTTATGTGGTTCTAAATGATAGATTAAATGAATTGTGATATTAAATAACTTATTTAATTTCACATATCATTTAATGACACATTGACGTCATCTAAATTGGGATTGTAATCCCAGTAGGGCTAAATAATATTACTCTATAACTTTACATTTAAATGAATCTATCATTTAATATCATATAATTAATACTTAAATTGGTGTTTAGCACTAACTGGGATGAATATCATTACTCTTTTTTATATCGTAATCTACTAGGTATAATTTTCTAATTATGTGCTTTCTATTTAGGGCTTATTTGACATGATTTTTAAAAAATCAAAAATTACTTTTTAGATTAAGTAACTTCTAATATATTTGAATAATATTTTAGAAGTGTATTATTTGGTTAGAAGAGTCTTTAAAAAAAGTTGATTTAGAGCCAATTTGAGAAATCATGAATTCGTTTGATTAATTTTATAGAAAAACATTTTTTCTAGTTTGAAGAGCTTCTAGAGGAAGCTGATCAAATGTGATTTAATTTAAAAATTCTTTCAAAAGAAGAAATTCTTTTAGAAATCAGTCTTCAAATATCAATTAAAGTAGCTTACTCAAAAGCATCTTCTAAAAGAAGTAGAAATAAAAGTACAAACTTTGCCAAACAAGTCCTTAATGTAAGCTTTTTTACAAGAAATGGAGAAAATTAAATTCCTAATATTCTTCAAACCCTTGCATTGCATGGTATTACAAAGGAACGTGGACCCGTTATAGTCAATTCATAATTCCCGATTTAGAATACTATCCAATACGCAGAAATTTCATTTGTCTACACACGGAAATCAAGAAACAGTCCCAACAAGCCACGTTTCATTTTCCTTTCATCGAAGTAATCCGATTGACCCTCTTTTCTCCAATCTCTGCTGACTCTCCAAACATTCATCACCAACAGAACACGTGTGTGCTTTGAAATCGGTCTGGTCTTAAATTAAACATACACAGTTACTGCTTTCTGGCCTCAAAATCTGTATTAATCATTTTTCAATGTCGAAATTATTTTAAATTAGGCAGTACCCATTGCCTTTTTTTTTTTCCTCACGCCGTGTGATTCAATTTTCGGAGGGTTTCTGAAATTTTTGAATTCTGAGAGAACTCATTTCACCATTTGTTCAATTTTAAAATGATCTCAAGTGGGCCATTGTTACAGGTAGAGGATAATGTTTGCTTCAATCCCACTCATTCCCATTTCCCACATCACTCCCCCATCATCCCATCTTCTCTATTTGGTTTGGATTGAAAAATTTATTATTCATAACTTCTGACTGCATTTATCAGAAATTTTATCACATTGATTCTTTAATCGTTTCTCGGATTTTCCTTCCCGCTTCTTTATATATATATTCTGGGTCGTGCAGATTTGAGACTAGCATTCATTCTGATTGCAATTTTCAATACCTCCAAGTAAGTGCTCATAACCATCCATTTGCTTAATTAAAAGTGGGTTTAAGTTGATTGCATATGCTATTTTGATTTCGAATCTGAAAGAAGGTGTCATATGCATATACTGCTAATGAGATTTCTATGTACTATGAGGATGCATTTTGAGAAATGAGGTAGCTAAATATGCTGATAATTTATCCAAGACTTCTATTTTGTCTGGATTTCTGGCACTGCATTTGTATCCATCCAAATCAAAACAGTATTCATCTCTGCTTTGATTTGTACATCTAATCAAACGTCATGTTTGAGATATTGAATACGTCTTGCTTAAGCACAGATTCTCCAGTTTTCTTGGAAAAAATTCTTGTAAGCATCCCATGATTTGAATATATACTGAATACTAATTGATTTTGGTCATTCTTGTCATAGAGAACTACTATTAATAGTTACCATGTTTCAGTGCAACTTTTTAAACAATAAATGATTCTAGGCCAAGAATAAAGGATTGGTTTTGAGGTTCAAGTCGATAATTTTGTAATATCTTCAACGATCTAATCATGTTGATTAGATTTTCTTTTATGCAAGCATGATAGTTAAGGGGCTAAGTTCTTTGAGATTTGCTAGAAACTTGATCTAAATAGATTGAGTTTATTTTTTAGTTTCTTTTCTAGAATAGTTAGTTAAAATGTCAAACTGCCTCAGGGTTCTGAAAGGACTTAAAGGGAGAATAATATATTGGCGGGAAAATTCAATGCTTCCATTGAAAGGTCAGTGCCAATTCACTGGACTATTTTACGTTCTTCACCTAGGCATCATTTTTTATGTTTTCACCATTTTTAGCTTCTGTCTCTACTTTCACCTGGCGTGATAATGGCAGCTTTAGTTGAACTCATATAAAGTAATATGCTTCATGTGAATTTCTTGTACTTGATTGTGTTTGCATTTTATTTAATATCAAACTTAATCCTGTTAATTTCATCCCTTTTATTTCTTATTATCTATCATATGGATGTTATTGAGTAGCATTTTGGATCCTGTTCTCCAGGTTCGATGTTGGCTTTATAAGGTGACGTGACAAACAACAACAATCTTCTCCAGTTTGTCTTCATCCCTCTAACAAGAATGGAGGACACCTTTTCCCGAGTCTTGACTTTAACCTCCTTTATAACCCGTAGGTTCATTCATTTCATCGGTGAGCATTTTATTCTATTATTTTTTTGCTCATTAATGGAGTAACTTGTATTCTCCATAATTTCCGGCACATTGCTTCTTGTTCCCCTTTTGTCTAATTTCAGGTGGTTTCTGTTCACATATAACATTATTGCAGAGCATATTTTGTTAAGAGATCTGAGTAGATGTTTAGAAGATCTGGGCATAATATCTTGTGGGCAACATCCTTCAAGTTGCAGCGATGATAATTCTGTTTCCACGAGTTGTTCGTCTTCAACTCATTGTAACTCCAGCGCAAGCTTAGGCATTCATGAAAGAAGAGCCTCAGATCTGGAGCATCAGTCATTAGTAAATTCAAAAGGATTAGAAATTGTTCATAGAAGATACAATTATGGGGTTGTCAACTTCATTTTAAAAGGGTAAAATTTTTCATATGCTTTATTCTCATCTTTTTTCGTGATGTTTTAGCAGCTGACCATCTGTGTACCTTATCTTTGATTTAAGAATCAATTTAACAAGCTTAAATTAAAATTTAGCCTCTATTTACAGTCTCTCTTATTTTCTCTTTTCCTGCAAATTGATATTCAATACAAATCCCATTTAAACTACAGTTGTTGATCTGGGTTTTTAGGTTGATGCTTCCTATATCTTGTTTGAGATTTGCTTGTCAGTTAGCAATGGCATCTTGTAGATGTTATTTTGGTTATCTGAGATGTGCACAAGCTCAAGTTCAGAGGTAAAAAAATATGCTCTGATCCTGAAAATTTACCCAATAACAGTGAAGAAGTCTGGTTCAAGACAATTTTACTTCGCCTTTTATATATAACCTTCTTTCTGCATTTTTTAGCATTGTATCTCGAGTGTGTAAAACTTTGCATGGGTCTTCTGATGAAATTGGGTGGTTGCAATGTGCTCCTGGAATGGCTCCTGTGGAGGATGGTTCAGTTAGATTCTGGGAACTGCTACAAAGCATTATGTACGATCTATACTTTATTTTACATCCAGCTGCTTTTGATGGGTTTTTATTCTCTTTGAACATTGATGATATTTAAGACATTTGTATATGGTTTACATAACTAACAAATATATTGTATACATATACTTTAAACGATTGCCCTAAAGGTTGATTGTAGATTGTTGCTCAGCTCCCAAAGCTGTACTTGTTCTCTTCCCCAGAATATAGCGTCTTTCTACTGTTTGCTGTACTGAGTATTGCAGTGTTAGCTCTAGTTTGAGAGATTGTCGAGATTTTTGGCATCATGTACATGTTTCTTTTACCTATGGTGGCAACATTAGCTCTTTCCTAAGTGAAAGGGCTTTTGTATTTCTCTTCTGACCTTCAAGCAAAAGTCAAATTTAGCTTAATTAAAATGCTTTTCATCTGTTTCTGCTATTGTTTTCTAGTAAAGCTGGCATTCAACTTCGATTATTGAGTTTTAGTCAACCTACTCGACTGAATGGTCGAGCTTAGTACTTGACAAGTTTGGCGCAATGGTCGAGTTGGTTGACTTTTCTCTCATGATAAAAATGACAGCCAGTTTCAAAGTATATTGCAACTCCTCAACAAGCATCCAACTTATCTCAATATCTTTGCTTCAATAAATAGATGCAGAGTCGAATAAAACTCAACCTACTTGACTCAATGGTCGAGTTGGTCGAGCTTAGTACTTGACAAGTTTGGTGCAATGGCAGATTTGGGAACCTTTTACGATAAAAAATGACACAGTTTCAAAGTAACAATGCAACTCCTCGACAAGCATAGTACTTCTATATTTTTTTGCTTCTAGTAAATAGACGCAGAGGTTAATATGAGTCTGTAGCAATGTTTAAAGTGTTTTGCTTCATTGTTTCATCTGCAGCAGTGTTTATAATATAGTATTTCATCTGCAGCTGTGTCGAAGACGAGTCCTATCATTCTCATTCACTTGATGCAGGGTTGAAGACTTCTGATGTAACGACCCAGGTCCCACTTAACGGGCTGTCCTGACCGTTAGATCGACGACGTACTGTCCTCAATCCTGGGAAGTGGATACTTAATCTTAATAGTGATTTTGTTCAATTCTCTGTAGTCAATGCACATACACATCGAACCATCTTTCTTCTTGACGAATAACACTGGAGCTCCCCATGGGGATACACTGGGTTGGATGAATCCCCTTTCCAACAATTCTTCAATTTGTGATTTCAACTCTTGTAACTCTT